TTTTTTTAAAATAACCGAAGAGGATCAAATTGTTAAAAAATCCTTTCCTCTCACCAGTTTTGAGCATCTGTTCACATGCGATCTGTCTGAAGCTTGGAGAAAGTAAATGAAAATATATTAATTTAACCTGTAAACAATATTTGTACTGTATCCATTAATAACATCTAAATCGATAGAAACAAACGCTGCGCGCTGTCTGTTTTCTTTCCTTTCTCAGTTAGCTTTAGAGCAGATGCAGAGGGGCTCTGCTCCATGGTCCCTGTAGTGAAATGGTCGAAGTTTTGTCGTTTCATCACCCTAGATAATTTTGAGATTCAGATTATCTGTTAAGTTCTCGCCTACTACTAGTATTTGTTAATTCATTATCTAGAACTCTCTTTTCTTTAATTGTTTGAATTTTTAAAAAAATGTATTTTATATTTAAAGTTGTAACAAATTACATAATTTAAAATCATAAAATGAGAATTGACTCATAAATTTCGTTTGATAATATTTGTTTCATACTTTATTTTTTAGTTTTTATGTCTTTTTATTATTTTAATAATATACAAAATATTAATTAAAATAAATATTAAATATGTAAAATATATTTTATATATTTTTAGGGTGTTAAAAAATTAAAAAATCTATTACTATAATTACAAATCAGTGTTATTAAACTAAATCATAATATCATAATTTATATTTTTTAATTTAGTATAATCTCAACTATAACATTAAAATTTTCTTTTAATTATCTGGATTTTTGGGGGAAACGTTGCTACTAAGCCGCGGTTTCACAAAATGTGGGTTGGACTATTGGAGTATCGTGGAGGACCATACGGTGACGTCGGAAACCAAGATTTTTGGGTCTCAGTATCAGCACATCACAGCACATTCGTTTACGGAAATATTGCTCAGACCCAGCCCAACATCTATACCCTTTTACTTTCTTCGTCTCTAGTACCGTTGTTGCTAAGAAAAGAACACTCACCGGAGAGGCGGAGATTCATGGCGGTGGCACGGCTGATACGACCTCTGAGGCAATGGCCGCAAGTGCAGAACCGTTACCGCTCTCTCACAGTGCTCGATCGCCTCCTATTCTCATCCTCACTGGTGACGGTAGCTACTATAGTCACCTTGCATTCTTTCTCTTTCGCGACGGATACTTCCTCTCGCCGGAGCGTCTGTCACCGGTCGCGCGGACTCAGATTGCCTAATTCTCCTACGCTGCCTAATCTCCAAAAGGAAGATGGCGAGACTGGTGATTCGGATACCGATGGGAAGACAAGCCGCAACCAGAAGAAGCGCGAGTCATACTTCAATTTTTTCCGAATAACAGCAAATTTATTTTCCCGCCCGCCATAACTTTTCATGATTTGTATGGATTTGCAGAGTGGCGGCTCTCGGACAAGAAGTATTTGAGGCTTTAACGTTAGTGAAGGTGCTTCTTAGAACTTAGAAATTCAATGGTTAGTTGCAAAATTTTGCATTTTGCCGAGCATTATTTAGTGTTTTGTTGTTAAAGATGTTTGTATTTTTGCCGCAGAGACTCGGACCGAATGTTCGAGAAGGAAAGCGTACGCAGTTCAATTATATTGGTAAGAAAATCCGCTTAATTTAACACAAAGATTCTCTCTTGAATCGTATGTATTTAGGAACCTCCACTAAACTCTGAAGTTGTTATTAAGAAGTTGTCAATCTTAATGTTATTTTATGATTCCTTAGTTCCTAAGTTTAGAGATTATGATGAATGTGATTCTAATTTGTGTGCCAAATCATTGTTAGGGAAACTGCTGCGAGAAGTAGAACCTGAATTAATGGATACTTTGATTCAAGCTGCGAATGTTGGTGATCAGATAACACTGCAGCACCTAGCTAGTTTGCAGCCGCAAATCATGGAAGATGAGGATGATGATGAGGAATCCGAAAGTGAGGATGAAGATGAGGTAGGTAGAAATTTTTGTTTAGGGACGTCTAGCAAGATTCAAGTTTTGAGTTACATATCATGTAGCACTAGAGAATTTGAATTGTTATTATCATATCTGAAGATGGTTCTCATTGAACTTGTTTGATCATTGTTTTCAGGTATCACAAGCTCACACCAATATTGCAAGTAGATGGTTTGATGGCTTGATCAGTAAGGACATGACAATTACAAATGAAGTTTATTCGATTAACAGCGTTGATTTTGATCGACTGGTAATTAAAATAATGATAATAACTCATTGATATTGCAGCCTCTCTGCTCCGGAAAAGGAAGAAAGAGTACTTAGATATTGGAAAGAGTTAAGACTTGTGCATATGAATTCATCTAAGCATTTTAGGCTTGACTCATTTTATTAGAATCCCAACTTATGTTTCTCATCTAAATTTGTCCCAATTCAAGTACATGCATAATCATATTGTGTTTTGATCTTCTATTTATTTCTTTCACTCCTGAACTTAACAGGAACTACGCAAACTTGTACGTAGAGTACACTCGATGAAAGACAAAAGACAAGGTGTTACTGAGGAAAATGATGGGGCGAAAATAGATGCAGAAATAATGGGTGCCGAGAAGTCCCTCACCCGTTTCCTTGGAGACATTGCTAGGCAATTACCAAATGAATAACATCTGATTACTTGTAACATTGTCATTCTCCTGTGCAATAAGGTAATATTGTTGATCTAGGCATATGATTGAAGCGTAGCCAATTAAAAATTTATTTATATCGTACTCAGAATCTTGTAACTTCTTGCAAGTGTGCACTTCTTTGCGAGTCGGTGTTTATTGTCCTTCATCTGCTCTGTACTGTAAAAATATTAATTAAAAATAACATATATATAAAAAAAAAACTAAAATTAATAAATTCACATTTGTCAAAAGATATTGTACAAAAGAAGTCTGTGCCAATGTTCAAAAAAAAAAAAAAAAAAGTCTGTGCCAAGTACGAACAAACGAAGTATAAATTGGTCATATTTAACCAAAGACCATTAAACTGGTCAATTATTTTTTTCTTTAACCGTCAGCAAAACTATCAATTACAATTGTCATCAATCACTTGGTTGGACGCACTAGACTTTATACGTGAATTGTTGGGGGCACATGATACTTTAGTAATGATCATAATCCGAGTTA